AGGGATGAGCAAGAGCAAGTCATAAGACATCATTAAAATCGTTGTCTCAACTGAAAACAACGGTCAGCCATGAACTGCGAAGCCTGCCGATACAGGACGTGAGATCGTCTCACAGTGATCGCATGACGATGGAACACCACGAAAGCCGGGAAAATTACCAGAAAGAAATTATTCCTAAAACAAACAAGGCCGTCATTTGCCCTCGGCGGTGCTCTGAACGAAAGGAACACACAACCCATCCAAAACGCCCACCCAGCTATACAGACGTGTGGCACAGGGCGAATGTTGGTCACTTTCGACCCGTTGTCAGGCGGCCACAAGTAGTGCGCCGCCTGAAATTTACGGGTTTAGGGACTTAGGCTCAAAGACTAGTCCGTGCAATGACGGTACTCTGGTTTGACCAGGCAGTAAAATTAGGGGTACCCCGAGTATCCCTAAGATTGGATATGACGACCGTTGAGACTAGCTCTCGAAATTGATAAGAAGGACTACCTCTTCTACCGCGGCGGCGTCTATCTCAATACCGCCGTCTTTAGCTTGTTTTCGGGACGGCCGCCTGCTGAACAGCAAGATGAAGATAGGCTTAGGTGTGGTTCTTTTACGCCTCACAACTGGCGCAGAAGCGGGGCCTCGAATATCATCAGTTTTGGCACCAAAATTAAAGAAAAGAGAACATGAAATAAAAACAAAAGAAGAAAAGAGAAAAACGGAATATTCATTAATTTATTCAAAATCTTTGATATTTGATTTTAAATGGGACCGCCCTCAATTATTGGAATTTCTGGCAATAGAGTTTAAAAAAGGGATCAAAGGTGATAAAAGAAAAAGAAAACAAAGAATTTTCGTTATGTAATTGAATTCCATCGGAATTTATTTTTGACAAGATTGCTTTTATTTTCGTTATTTTCGATAATGAAACTAAGAAATAAGGAAAATAATTAAAAATAATAAAACGAGAAGGAAACCCACGATTGACTGATAATTAACTAATTTTTACTTGGTTATTCGCGAGGGGTTTTAATTCCGAATCATTAATTTACCCTGATTCTAACCACCCTCTCAATTTCTCGATAACCGAGATTACCGCTTGACTTGCTAAACCTACTTGATTTGCTTAAGCGCCACATTGATCCAATCCGGGTGTGGAGAGTGAGTGCGGGATGGATGTCTGGCGCGGGATTACCACCGGTGCTATTTTGCCTGGGCTTCATTGCTTGGGTGTTACCGCTGGGTCGATTCGGGCACGGTACTCTGGTTCGGGACAGGCTCGGTATTATTACAACGCATTGTTGCACGGTACGGCACCCGACACCGAGCGGTATGATAATAGTGCAGGCGGCGGTAAATCAGAGCGTTTCTTCAGAACCGGCATTGGAACGCTTGCTGGAACGGCACTGGTATGGGACTATTATCGCAACGGCATTGGCATGGACGCTAACGCAGATTGGCACAACTATTGGCTCGGCATCGACACAAACTGGAACAGTATAGGACTATTTGACCTTGGTATTTGATGGTCCGGCGCTCTGATTTGTTTCAGGGCTGCTGCAGTTCACAGTTCGCTGCATTGATAGTGGCACAACACTGAAACAGAGTACTACAACCTGCGCTGTTCTTTTTGGGGTTCGGAGACAGAAAAAGGTGCAGGCACGTTGCCTGTGACGTTGCGCAGATTCTGGCTGCGATTCGGTACTTCGACCTTGGAATAGGCACCAGTTGGCTACTTACACAGTCCTGGGACGGCAGACCATGGCCCGGACCTTCTGGGTTTAGAAATTGGTCACTGGTTTGCCGTTGGAACAGCTACCACAATGGACCAGGGTGCGATGACCGGGCCTGGATTGACGAGGGCAAGAAATTTTCTGGGCCTGGAGCATTGGGGCTGTAGGGACTGCGATGCGGACCGAGTCGAAGCAGGGCAGTTGGCCACAGACAGTGGATATAAGGGAAGTAAACGGGTACCAAGGGGCGTTTTGGAGGATGCGTGTCAGGCGTACCCAGCATTCCGGAAGTCGACTGGAGGCGAACAGGCGGAGAGAGCAAGCACAGGTAGAATCGGCGCTCCGGCGGTTTCTCCGCCCGTGCGAGGGGTGAACGGGGACATGTTGTTGACATAGGGGCGAGAAGGGATGAGGAGAGTGCGCTGCCAGTTGTAGAATGCTCTGGAAGAAAGAGAGGGAGAAGTCAGAAGGAGAGAACGCACCAGTAGGCGGACAGAGAGTTTTGCGAGCAAGTCTAGCACGGAGAGAGGCGTGCACAGTATAGGGAAGAAGAAGAGATTGCTGCTGAGAATAGCCCCTGTGAGCGGGCCAGCCAAAGTTCTTTTTCAGATCTGACGAGAATTGCCTGTGTGAGCAGGCTAATCAAAGTCCGTCTGTTGATCTGCTGAGAATGGCCGCTGCGAGCGGGCCAGCCAAAGTTCTTTTTCGGATCTGACGAGAACAGCCTGTGTGAGCAGGCTAATCAAAGTCCACTTGCTGATCTGTTGAGAATGGCCGCTGCGAGCGGGACA